GTCTGCATTTAAAAAAAAAGTAAACAGAAAATAGACTATGTTTACAAAATTGATTCCGCGGATTTTATGGAAACGGATTAACTTGAAGTAACAAAAAGTGATTAATAATTTGAAAACATTAAAGGCAGTTTGTATGGCGTATTAGTGTCCTTATTATTCAATTATCTTAAATATGCTCTTTTCGGAAAGGAAAGGGAGGAAACCAAGAAACATTTGAAGTAGGCCATTTTGGTAATAAAATGTAAGACATAAGGCAAAAAATAATGCTTCTTTATATCATCCTAATAACGCATTCCCGCTCAAATTTGCAAACAAACGTCGCATAAACGGGTACAGTTTTTCTGACAGGGCATTATCGTCAGTGGAAGATGGATACACAAATCTCGATCAATAAACAGGGTCAAAGTGTAAGTCAGTGACAGAGGCAAATATGAAATGTCGATTTAATTATGAAAATAGGAACATTTTAACCCTGAAAAAGGTTTGGCTCAAAAGTATGTGTATCAGTATGAACTTGACAGTTGTTTGGTAGTGGAACGACGATTAAAAAGTGCATTGGCAAAAAAATGTATCGCGTGAATTGTATTCGCATGGAGTATCTTGCCTCGGAACGCTCACGAATACGGAAAGAAACGTTGGTGTAAAGCAAAACCATCCACCTTGTAGCGCTGGCTATCAAGGCTTTGATTTCATACGTAGCGCGTAGGTGTCTACGTGGGCTTCGGCTCGAGGCGCCACCAAATGGATTTCGTGAAGGACCTTGCCACCGCGAATCAGTCTTTCTCGAACCCAATCCAATACTTCCGGACTATCACCATCTTCCTTGACAGGACTGTAAAGGGGGCTGCGTTCGACAAAAGCGTACCTCTCAGCAAGATCGGCGCACGGTACTGATTGACCTTTAATACCAACCTCAAAGGCATGAGACCAGGTTAAGGAAGAACAATTACCATCCCCAGGATAGGTTTGCATTGTAAAAGCAAAAGTATTTCTTGGCGCCGGCGCCCACATTTTGTAAAACGGTCTGAGGAGCAGTGGGAAAATATCAGACTTTGCGTAATCGTAGTATCGTCCATTTGCCGTTGCAAGTTCATGTATGTGGGTGGCATTAGAGATGTAGTAGCCGATATCCACAATGGGCCAGGCCCAACCATAGTTATTGAGTATACGACTACCATCAATATCCAGCGAAGAATTGTTCGGCACGATTAGTTTTGAGGAAAGTTTGTCCCTACGACCACATTTCTGGATGACATAATTTGGCAGGAGGGTGCGCATCTTCTTCCACAGCGCCGGCCTGACCTCATTGTCGACAAGAACATCAATGTCATCGTCCCAGGGAATAATGTCATGGTGCCGAAAAGATCCAAGCAAACTGCCACCGTATAGCATCCACCTGTCACTGAAGCCGAGCTCCTCCATGACATTTGCAAATGTGTTGAACAGATTCCAAAGAGTGCGCATCTGTTGCCGACTAAATTGGGCGCCCAGAGGCAATGAGCGAGTACCCGGAGCACCCAAGGGAGAAGGTAAATATTCTCGTTCCGGCCAAATAATATTCTCCAAATTTGGAAGCCTTTCACGCTGCTCTTTAATGTGACCAGTCTTCACCACAAAGCTCTTAAAGTTCAGCTGTCGTCGTCTCAAGAAGTTAAAGATTAATGGGCAAAGAGATGCAGGCGAGGTTACCAAGGTATTCAAAAAAAGATATGAGAGCGTTAGCATGACCGTCAATATGAGGGTTGCAGTGGTTTTAGTCTTGCGCAACTTCAACATTATGCTGAATGTTCTGTGTTCCGGTTTCCGACCTTTGGGCTGGGTACCTGTTTTTGTTTAAAGGATAAAGCAATCGTCAATAGAGAAGTCGTGTAAGCTTAATCAGTCAGCGCAAAACGAAACTATCGGATAATATGCTAGTCGCTTCTGCACTAGAAGTCCCAACCAAGGGCATTTTAGTATGTTCTGACATGTTGGATCGATCACCTGTCAAGGTAGGCAAACTCATAATGAAGTGATATTGTTGCGATGACATTATAACCAGTCGACATAAAGGACGCAAATAGTCAAGCAATGCTGCCAAAACAGTTCCTACAATGAGTTAGTTTTTTTCTTATCTAAGGAGCGCTTTGCGCAGCAGACGATAGTAATCTAACTCCAAAGTGCTAAGTTGAACCTTTTAATCAACATTTCTATTTTTTAGACATTTGAAGAAACCTGCATTTGGATAACCGAATTTTTCGCAATACGTTAAACGATTAAACAGGTAAGGAAAATCTACAGAAATAAATAACTAATACTTCTAAGTACAATAGAATAAAAACGCATATGAAGTAGAAGCCAAATATCATGCAAAATTTCGACATATGCGAAAGACTGATACTCTTTCGCTAATCGG